TATGCACTTGATGTTTCCCCTGCAGTGCCTGTGTGTGACAAATGTGCCATTATTTCTTGGTCTACCATCAGCCCATTTTCCAGGCACTTGCCTCTTGCCTACCAGGGCTGTGTCACCTGCAAAACCGAATGCAAGTATGGAAGTACTCCTCTTGCGCAGAAGGGTCTTGCACATGAAACAGGGCAGTCTGGGATTTATGGCCTTTCTCCTTACTTGGCCTGGTGCATCAGGTTTATCTGTATCTTACCACAACCTAAGGAATAATTAATAGCCATTTCAGAGTTGATATGCTAAAATACAAAAGTATAATTTTTGTGTTGTTAAAATACTCTTTTCTTGCACCCTAAGTCAGAGGCATGCCCCAATCTTCTGAACCAGATTTCTGTAGAGAAACAGTCCTTCATATGCTATCCCTTGTTAGGCCTGTGCTTGTTTGCTGTAGGTGCAGGGCTCTTGGCCTCTGCATTGCCAGCAGCATTATCCACACAGGCAGGGCAGTCAGGGTAAGGACTGTGCGTTCCTCCAAGGCCCATGTGTGGTTTTCATAGACTTGCCTTTTTTCTTATATTAGCAAGCTGGAAAAGAAGGTCCTACTGGAGAAAAAGAGGGAAAATTTCTGTGCTGGTTTAGCTCAGGCTTCCTAATAGCATTGTATTGGAGGAACTATTTCTACTTTAGCTGCTTAAAATATAATTTGCTGATGACTGAAAGCATTTTCATAGCTTTGAATTTAGAAGTTCCTTGTTTTCCACAAAACAACACAGTGTGAGCAGCCTCAGTACAACCATGGCTGTCCATGTGCAGTCTCCATGATTTGTTTGCTCTCTGCTGAGACAACTGTGTAGGTGGCAGCTATGTTCCTGGTTTTCAGGAAGTCGCTGCCCATCCCACTGTAACTACCTCAGTGATGAATGCCATTTGTTTTCCTCAGGAGACTGAAGCTATCGTACGTTCAGAGCGTTTTGGTCTGTGTTACTGTCACTCCATTAAAAGTTTTGCCATCATCAAGTTCAATTATCTACTTGAGGCTTTTCACAGATCTGCATCTCGTACTGAATCCAGTCATGGCCTTCTGTTTGGATTCTTCTCCCACTAATGTCCTGTAACTACTTTTCAGCTTGATCTTTTTATCATTAATTGTTGCTCAATAAAACACTGTTTTTCTCCTTCATTTCCCTCTTGAGACCTTCTTGTGCTGTATTGCCTACCAGGCACCAGCCAATTTGCAATTTTAATTGTTTTGTAAATGCTCAAGTGACTTGTAACCATTACACTGTACAGTCCTTAACTTGTGCAATGATGTGCTGTAGCTTGTTGTAGTCTCCCTAGGTATCCTCCATTCCCTTCTATGTCTTACTTTGTACTTTTCCGTTTATTTTGAATGAAATATTTTAAAGGAGAAGCTGTGATTTATGGATTTGCATAGTGCCTAGCACAGTGGTACCAATTTATGTTTGGGCTACCACAGTTCGGCATCTGCCCTATCTTGGGGTGCTCTTTATCAGCAGGCAGCCTGTGAGGACTCTTTCAAGCATATTGTAAGAAGGAAGTTCCCATCAAGGTTGGGCTGACTGGGCATGTGACAGTAGAAGGCAAATATTGAGAGAGTGTGTTGAGACTGCTTATCTCAGTCTCTAAATGCTTAGGATTCAAAATAAGTCAGTAGTGGTCTTTACAGTGAGTTAACTTGTGTTGTAGTAGTCCCAGACCTGGTCTAGATTTGGTTATTAGACTTCTAGTGGAATGACTAGGTATTTTGCAAAGTGTAAAAAAGAAATAAGAGAATAAATAGATAATTATTAAGTACGTGGTATAGAACCAGAAGAAAGAAGTCTTCATTGAACAGAGACAATAGTGTGGGGTAGAACAGGATGTGACTTGTTGGATATGATTCTGTGAGTCTTTGGCTTTGATGGGCAGGAGGGACTGAGAGGGAAGGACCTTCTGCGCATTTGATTTATGTGATCATTTGTGAAGAGATTTTCAAAATTAGAAGGAAAATCTTAAGATAGTACTGCATGCTGTGGATGCTCCCAGTTAACAGTTCAAATACATTTCATGTAAAGCTGTAGAGAGAAGTGCGAGGAGTAAGGAGCACAAGTGGAAAAGCTTAGAAAGGCATACTGAAAAGAGAGGAAAGCCATACAGTCCCTTGGCAGCTTAGTAAAAACTTTACAGTCATTTTCTGCCCTGGAGAATGACATTCCATATTTCCTCAGTGCTTTACCTAGCAACAGGTATGACTTTTAAGGCCTCTGCACCTTTTGATGTCTGTCTCCTCAGATATAAGAAACTTCTCCCTTCTTGCTGCAGCCATATATCCCCACTCTGACAAGAGATATCTACAGTCCATTTCCTTCTCACTGCTTTCCTTTACTCCTGTACCTCTTGACTATGGATTTGTTCTTGAAATTATGTGAGAATGGAGGAATGATTTGAGAATTCAAATTCCTAAGCTTATCGGCTGTGCTGGCAAACTAACCAAGTAACAATTGCATTTCTCAGAGAGGAAGTTCATGGAACCCTTGCACATCAGCTTCCTCTGGACTGTGTGCAGATACACCCCCTGTGTATTTCTCATGTGCCACCTCCACTGCTGTCTTGCAGGGTTTGTTGGGACTGAACAGCTAGGAAACATGAGGGGATTCCTAGTGTCTCTTCAGTCTTTCATCCACAAGTTCAGAATGTGCTGTTGACTCAGATCTGTAGCATCTGATGATAGTTCAGTGTCTCGTGTAAAACGGATTGTGCCATTAGGAAAAGGGTCTTTGTTCAAGCACTGACATCATATGAACATCCAAAACTTTGACTGTTTGGTTGTCAAGAGAGGAGTGAACAGGTCACGAATACAGTTCTTTGAATATTCCCTGGGAATATTCTGCATATCGTCTTTATTTCATTATTCTAGTTCATTTCTCCTTGTAAGCGTTTCTCTTCTCTCATCTCCTATCAGAATTTCAGTCATACTGCATGTTAATAGTTTGTTTAGAGAGGCACTGTGTTTACAGGGCAGGTCAGGAACAGTCTCTTTGGAGGGGCTGCACATAAGGTTAGTGTGGTCCTTTCCTAGCACCTTGTGCCACAGAACTGACAAGTCCAGAGAGAGCAAGTTAAGTAGTGCCTGATGAAGAGTCAGGAGAAACCCAACTTGAAAAAGTAAGTTCCTCAGAATGAAAGAGGTCAAATCTGTAAGGCTTCAGTAAAGTTATGCTTAAAATCAGCTTGGGCTGGCGACTGTAGTGTGGCAGAGCAATACTTGGGACCTTGTGAATCTCTTCGAAAAGTGTAAAAAAAAAAAAATTGTGCTGAAACAGTTCAGTGATAAGCAAATTGTGCCCTTTCAAAACATTCACCAAGTTTCTTCCTGTAAAGACAATTAGAGTTTGTTCTCTTTTCCTATTTATCATGACTAACCACCTCTTTCTGTGCTCAGCTGTTCCTTTTTATTCTCCTCCTTTGTGTTTTGCTGTCCTGAAGCCAAATCTGAATGGATTTCAATGGCTCTCTTGTGCTTTTTGACTTGGTATCAGGCAGTTTTACACCATAAGAAAATTATGTTTCAAATCCTAGCCATACAATGCATGAGTTCTTTGACAGAAGAAATGACAGTTCAGCTGAATAATGGGTGTAAGGTGTGGTGTCTGCAAGTGTAAAACCTCTGAAATTTTCTCCTCCAGCTCCCTTTCTGGAGCTCCAGTCAAAGCTGTTTTTCACTACAGTAAACATTTTGGGTGTAGAGACTGTAGGTGACAGCTGGAAGGGCCCAGGCTTTCAGTGCTGTGTTCATCTAATTTATTACATATTAGATTCAGAAAAGTAGGGGACAGTGCTGTTTCTTGAAAAGAGCAAAACAGTGATGTGTGTGCTCCTTGTGAAATGACTATATTTTTCTACTGACTAGCAACCAGTAATTTTCTACTGACTAGCAACCAGTAATTCTACTGACTAGCAGCCTCACCCCTGGCAAAGCCTTTGTACCTGTCAGCTCCCTCCTTATGACCAGTGCAATACCAGCTGCATCCTGCTTCTTAGGCAGAGCAGTATATGTTGCCTGGGCCCATTTTGAGACTTGGAGCCCAGTAAGGTGCCACCTTTCCACAGGACTTAAAATTTGCTGTGGTAAAAAAGAGACAATTTAAATGTAATTTCTTTCTCAGATTTGCCCTCTGTGGATGTTACGAGTTTGTGTGTGTTGCCATCTGGGAGATAAGGACTTGTGACATCTGTGTTGACTCCTCTCTCTCTCTATCTCTCTCTCCCCCCCCCCCCCCCCCCCCCCCCCCCCCCCCCCCCCCCC